GCTCTCATTTCTTCGTAGAATATAACTTTGCGGTAAAGTATTAGCCAGGAAAGCAGAATGCTTTGGCTGATGCGTTGTCACGCAGACCAAATTCTGAGCTTGCTCATGTCACAACGGTGACGTCGTCCGTGATTGATTTGATCTGCTCCGCGTACGCGGGTGATGGTATGTGCGTAGCGCCGCTAAGGGCTCTCGGGAGCAAGGAGTTTGGAGACTCGGATATGAAGTTATCGTCGCGACTGGGTGCACGGTTGCACCGATCTTCATTGCATACTGGACTGCTGTATTATAGCACGGACTCTATGGATACGTCACGAATTGTGGTTCCTCACGATGAGAATTCGAAATACCGTATTTGCTGTAAGGCCCACAACACCCCATTTAGTGGCCATCTCGGTCGTGAGAAGACCTACAGCTCTGTGATTTGGGCCCAAGCTGTACAACTGGACAAATAGCTATGTGCGGCCCCCGTGTGACGTATCAAAGAGTGAAACCCTCTTTAAATGCGGCGGCACCGCTGGCCAGTTTGCCTCTATCTTCCGGGTGTTGGCAGATCATGAATTTGGACTTCGTATTTGGCCTGCCGAAGTACTCGGCGGGCAATACGGGTATCGTGGCCTTCGTCGACCGTTTGAGCAAGATTGCTCATCTTACGGCGGTGCCTGACACCATCGACGGTGTCGGTACAGCAACGCTGTTTGTGGATCGTGTTATTCGATAACATGGAATCCCGGAGTCAAGTTTTCTCTGACAGAGTCCCACGTTCACTGGGAAGTTTTGTTCGATGATCTTCAAGGTGATGGGCACCAAGCTGAATATATCAACAGCGGACCAACCGCAGACCGATGGCCAAACTGAGTGCGTGAATCGCGTCGCTGAAGACGTCCTTCGCAGCGTCTGCGCTGAGGCTTCGAGGCGCTGGAATGCAATGCTGACACTCGTAGCGTTTGCTAAAAACAATGCCGTCATTTGTCTGCCGTTCTACATGAACAGGTTCAATTTTCTCTGCGTCCAGCTATCGCCGCCATCCCATCGTTCAGGGCTTCATGGGCGGGGAATAGCCGAGCGGCTAGCTGATGTATGGCCCTCACTGTTAGTAAAGAAGTTGATGACTTCTTGTCTACCTGACTGAGTGTTCTACGGCACGTTCGCGACGCGATGGCTGAAAGCCAAGACATGCAGAAAGAATATGCAGACGAAAGATGTAGACGAAATTTTAATCACTTTGGTGTCGAAGACCTGGTTCTACTGAATACCAAAACCATCCTACCCATGTTGTTTCTGCCGTTTACAAGACGAACCTCCGTCTACGGTTTATCGGTCCTTTCAAGGTTGTGGACAGGCGAAGCGCTAGAACTTCCGAAGCGGATATGCACCACCCGGTGATTTATTTGGGCTTGCTTTAACCGTACCGGGATGCGGCGCGGGTGAACACGGAAGCGTTGGCGCCGATGTGGCGTCCACAGGCGCGTAACTGCCCAGAAGCTGAATCAGCAATTGGTTTTGAGCGCGAAATGCAGCGATCTCCATTTCCAACGGCCCTAGGCGTTCTACAGTCGCACGAAGCGACGCATTCATTTGCTCGGCGGCTAGAATCTGTTTTCTACGTGTGGCAGCCGGTGCGTAACGTGCTCCAAAGTCTCTAGGTTTCACGCAGTGGTATGCGAACCCAGCATGATGCTCAGCGGAGTTCCAATTGCGACAGACCTCGTCCTCAAGAGCTCGAAGATCATCGCGATTCACCGGACGGCGATCAAATCAGTCGTCATTGTCTGCTGCCGACTCTTCTCGACATGAAGGGTGGTTTTCATTATCACGTGGAATTTTTTGTGTGTCGACGTCGTCGCCAGGGTCAAATTCAATATCTTGTAAAGTGGTGGTGATACCGACTTCGAGAACTCGTGGGAGTTGAAGTGCCACTTCGGCAATACTACCCAGACGTCGTTGAAGCTCATCATCAGAGTGACCATGACGCTCTACGTCGTCGTACTCCCCGCTCCCGGCAATAGCTAGAGAAGCCAAAGGGTCATGAGCTGAGCTCAAGCTATGGCCTGAGCTGCTGCGGTCACAGTCTCACTCGTGTGACAGACCACAGAGCTCTCGGGAGGGTGATGGATCTACCGATACGTTGCAGAGCAACAATTCAAAGAAAGTCGCCGACGCGGCTTGAGTTTAACAAAATCAAACCTAAGACGGCGTTCCACGCGCGCGTCCACCTCCTTGTGGATCAACTGAAAGCAGTACAGCGTGGAAAGTTTCTGGTGCTGCTGCATCCTTCGCTCAAAGATCTCTTCGTCATCTGCAGCAATTTCGCTAGGGGCGAGTACCACAGGAGTCGTCCGCATCGCGGGTACAGGAGCGCCTCCTCTTTGAACACAAACTCATGTGCGGAACGTATCCACTGGGATTTCGGGAGACCTCACGAAGCGAACTCGGGGAGCTTTTCGTTCGTCAAGCTCAGTTTGTGGAGTGGCTGAGGATGCGATCACGTGGACGCTCAATGATCGCGTGATCACTTTCTTCGCTTCTGTAGCGGTATTTGCCGAGTGGAAGCCGAGCTCCACACGAGGGTCAACGACCGACTGTGGATGCGCACGTATAGGAGCCGCCCTGCAGACAGTATCCAGCTGTTGCTTATGTCCCTCGTCGAGGTCATTGGTAATGACACCACTTTTGCCAGAAGTCGAGTTGTCGGGAATCGGACACGGCGTTCGCAAGTTTTGCGCAGAGCTCACGTCGCGCCGCTGGGGCACCTCTCCCTCTTCTTACCATCCTGAGAAAGGAGTATCCGACTCGTTGTCGACTTCCTCCAAATCCTTGACGAGGTAATCAAATGCACGTGGCAGGCGTGGTGCGCGGTCGGAAAAGACATCGCGTCTGCGTTGTTGGTCGTGTGACCCATGCGCTTTGCGGTACTATGTTCTCAAAGCTTAGGCTGCGCTTCCCTTAAAGCCACGGACGTGCTGTTTGAAGTTGCACTGCATGCAGGAGACGAAGAAAGGTTTTGGCCGCCGGCGTTCTTGGAACTAACGAGGCTGGTTTTTTCGTGTCCTCAACACAGGGCTCATTGAGCAGAGAGTTCGTGAAGAAGGTTCTGGTGATGTTGTGGAGTCTTAGACACGCGAACCTTGCTCGTGGCGATTGTTAAATGTAAAATCTAGGTGTTCACAATCTTGGTGGGGAGCGTGTAACGGGGTTTCACGTGCCATGGTATGAAGGGTGTGGGTCACACAAGATGGTGTGATCACACAAAGGTGTGGCTACACTTTAACAAGGAGTCAAGACATTGCTGGACTGCCAGTATTTATATATTTAATTAGGTGTTACTGTACAGATGACAAAACCTATACTTTTAGATATAGGCGGCTTTGCCGCAAATAAAACCGAAATGATACAGTTTACGTGTTAAACGGAAGAGTTATTAAGCGTTGGGTTAAGGTTGTGATCACTCTTGGAGTAAGTGGTTTCGATCCGCTATACTCGTACTAAGTATGGAGTGAAGGTCACCAACCTTAACCAAGCTTCCAGCTACGGCAACCCCAATGCAGTTGACATGCGTATCCGCGAGCACTGTCGACTCCCAGCTGAACGTCCGTATTAATCTTGATTGTGAGTACACCGTCGAGTAAATCGTCTTCAATATCTTGCTAGATACTCAAGATTTACTTTTTCAAACAGCTAGAACAAAACGTTTGCTTGATCATCGGGATGGCTTTGACCAAGCGCTGTGTCTTGAGTAAAGTATCCTCGGTCAAATGTTTCATGCGAGCATGATACAGCTCCCGCAAAATGCCAGCCCTGGTACTCTCGACATTACATTTTTCTTCCAGCTTACAATCCAACATGTTCGCCTTACGAAATCTTGTACTCGGTGTAATTTCTTTTTCTACGATTCAGACGGCATATGTCAAACGCGGTAACTCCACACGCATGCCGCATTCTGCAAGCTTGCCAATCAACAATCTTCGATCATGTCCGAGGATGTATGAGACATCAATCAGGATCCATTTTCAACTTAAATCAGTTATAAATTTCGGTGCCGGTTCTCTTGACGCGCAGCTTTTAATTATCTGCAATTGTTACTTCGATACTTGTCTCGATGTCCTTGTATACGAACAAGTCCTTTCTGAGCGGGGTTACTTGGGACGTGCACCACTCTCGATAAGCCACCCTGCTGATCGTCTTTCACCCACTGCAAATTCTGCGTCATCAGTGTTGACTCGATTTCTGCTCAGGTAGTTCAGCTTCATGTGACCAACCTGGTCACAATTGAAATGTCTGCCCTCAAATCTGCCGCTTTTGCGTGGAGCACCACGTTGTCTCATCCAGCATTGGGTATTTAAGCATTCCCACTTGTGCATAACAATTTCATTTTAGTCTACTTCTTGTGTAGCCCCTCTGACTCCTTGAGCAGCGTCTTCTTGTTTTCGATCGATATGATGTCCTTTGCATCAACCACAATCGACGAAGTCGAATCAAATTCTGACGTCAGACTGCTAAGAAGTATCTTCAGTTGACGCGACTCGTCATCCGGCTCTCCAATTGTCTGGAGTCCCACAACCAACGTCTTAAGAATCTAAATGTTCTGCCATGCTAGTACAACTTTCGAATTTGAAGCTCTAAGTTGCCACATCGATATCAGTACTCTGCCTTGAAGATGTACGACCCGGTCTGTAAACCACAGAAAGAACTGTGGGGTAGGCACTGACAAGGCACACTACAGTGAGCCTTAGACACCGTATAATTAAACTTTGTTCGTTGAGGAATTTGAGCCATCATTCATGAAAGGAGAGATACCACACCATGGCTAATCCGAATGAATTTCGAACGGTTTTCCGGTTAAAATTGGTCGAGAATCACTGAAGCGTTGTTGCCAGGAGGGACTGCTGATGCCAATAAATCGTCGGACTAAGGCAGGCGTACTAGCTGGACGCCTACTGACGCTGCACAACAATAATATATGCGCATTCATGTAATCTCAAAGCACCACTGTTGTAGCCATGGTATCGGCCGAGTTTATTGCGATGAAACCGGATAAATACAAGGAGGAGACCAAAAATTATCAGATACTATGCGTATTGTTGTTGAATACCGAAAATAAACATTTAGTTGTTTTTGATGTAAGAAACTAATGAGCTTCTCTTGTGGTGCAGAAATTAAGCACTGACCCGTTGACCGATTAGTGGTCTCACTTTACTTAACAGGAACCCGAGTATAATAACTTTTGCATCTGCAGAAATTAAAAAGCAATTACTCTACAAAACTCACTAACTCAAACCAAAAAATGTGACTTCATGGGCAAAAATTGAAGCAGTAACTTCGAGCGAGAAAATAGCTGAGAGTAATCTGAGCTCGTTTTTTGTACGAATAAAGGTAGAACTTCTGTAAATAGACGCATATAGCTGCGAAATCGTTCTTCAACAGTATTGAGCGGCATCATCTCAACAAAGCCACATGTCATCCATGTCTGACAACACCTGGTGATTTCTGCGTTATAGTAGAGATTCGTGTAATAGCTGCAACATCTTCTTACTTCAAAATTTGAAGAGTAAGTGCCACTTCAGCACACTCTCTCCACTCCTTGAAGACTTGCTGAAGATGCTGTTTCTTACAGCATTAAGTTACTATGAATAGCTGTAACGATCGTAGAGATCTCTATATAACCTGCGAAGCATTATATTCTCAAAGCAGCAAACAACAGAGCAGGAAGTCGAAAGCACCTCCGACCGATTTGACAGAACTTACAATGTCACGTATTTCCAGTATCAAATTTTTTAAATAAAATATTCATGCTGAGAAGAAAATGCACTCCCCATATGAGCCGTAAAAGCACGGCAGATATAGCAGACATTACGGCAGTTTTTGATGTCTCCCATCTTCTAATCTTCGAGTATCGGTAAAAGCCAGACTAGCTGCTATAAATATCGAGAATCTCATCGTGAATAGATGCACTTTTACCAATAAAGCACAAATCGCTTTTATCTTGTCCCGTGTGCTGGCAACCCATGTCGGCATAATTTATGGAGCTGATCCATTAATCTCTCCTGTTAATTCAAGCACTTCATTACAAACGTGGTATAGCGTCTAAAAGAGACTATGTGGACATCGTACATGGAGAACATACACGACCCGAAGGGTTAGCTCAGTTTAAAATTTGCTTTACTCCACGCAACTTCACGGCAATGTATTGGCATAAACGGATACTAGTGGCTGCAGCGTTGGTAGCAAGTCTCGCCTCCATTGTTAAATCTCAGAGTGACTTTGGCTCAAATGCTACATGTTTGCCTTCGCAATACACCGACAAGTCCACGGGCGACTGCATCAACTACAAAGATAGAGGCGAAAAGGCTGAGACCGACTACGACCAAGTAGTGAATTCAGGAAATACGGCGTGGATGTTGATGGCCAGTGCCATGGTCATGATCATGACACCGGGAGTCGCCTTCTTTTACGCCGGTCTTGCTGGTGAGAAAATGGCTTCGAACACTATCATGATGTCATTTGTTAGCATGGCCTTAGTGTCAATTCAATTTTGGGCCTTTGGCTACTCTGTGTCTTTTGGATCCAATGGCTTGTTTGACTGGACTGCTTACAACAATGTGGGTAAAACCCCAAGCGGCACGTACGGCACTGAGATTCCGCATATCTTGTTTGCCCTCTTCCAGACCCAGTTTGCTATGATTTCGCCAGCCTTACTAAGCGGCGGCATTGTTGGTCGCATGAAGTATGGGACCTTTCTGCTCTTTATCTTTTTGTGGACGTCTTTGGTATATGACCCGTTGGCCCACTGGATGTGGTCCTTGAAACTTGATGATTCCTGGGCAATCACAAACATGGGTTGGGAGGGAAAAATGGGGTCCATTGATTTTGCTGGTGGCACTGTTATTCATATTTCTAGTGGGTTCGGTGCTCTCGCTGCTGCTCTGATGGTTGGAAAAAGGTACAATCACAATGAAGCTGTAA